TTCCTGAAATAATTAATAGACTGTATAACTAACTATCTTATGTGTGTAAATGTAAGTCACTAAATCTCAATAAAAGTGAGATCCTTGTTTTAAATCAGCAATGATCTGTTGATCTGTTTTTGTCTTTTTAATGTAGTCATCCAGTCACAGTAACAAAGACAATAGTTTATGGTCAATCAATGCAAGGAAATTCTCATTGACAGAAAGATTCAGCTTATTGAACAAAACAAATGTTTGGATTCGTGGCATTCAAGTAGATACAATAATAAATATTAAGGAATTTTCTTGTTTGTGTATGTGTATCTTGTCCTTCTTTTGGTTGTGAAGAAGCCAATGCTTGTTTTGTTTATATTTCTATAACAAGAATCAAGAATAAATTAAAGTGGAGCGATTTTGAGGCAAATCGGTGAAACGGCCAAGGAGGAGTCGCTTTCCAACCGACATGTATGAAAATTATTGCGGATCATTTTTCCATTTTGCAGTGAAATTTATGGGCCTCCTGTTTGTCAGAGGGCGGAGCCATGATAACATTTTGGTCGTATCTCGACTTGAGGAACATGTGTACCGAATTTCGTGGCTCTACGACAAACTTGACCTCTGAAACTCCCATTGGCTGTTGTAGATGGTGCTGTTCTGGCATTTTTTGAGTCCCATAAAAATAAACACCAAAATATCAAATTTTTCACCAGGTCTGATGTTTGGGCAAAATTTTACAACTTTTCATGCATGTTCAGGGGGTGAAATTAAGGCTCAAAGTGCAGAATTTGACATCTCTCGAGTAAAAACAATAGGCCCTTTCCCCGTTCGGGACTCGGGCCTAAAGAGCACATGCACATTTGTCGCCCACTGAAGAGTTGTTGGATAGATGTAGGAATGTGATATATTTTATTATTGTGCTCAAATAAGTGGTATCTCTCCACATTGTTCTACTATACAGCTGCAAATTCATGTATAAAGTTTATTTTGGGTAGTTTCAGTTGTTTTAAAACCAGAATCTCTCCCTGTGTGTAACTTACTCCATGCAGCATTTGGCTTCTACTCGTCTCACATTTTAGCTTTAACACGTCTCCTCTGGTGTGGAGTCATAGGCTGCATCGTGAGGTCTACTCTACTGTAGGAACTGTTGGTGTGTGAGAAATATGGAATGAAAACACACATTCAAACCTCTCTACTGCAGCTTTATAAAGCAACATTTGGATGTAGTTCAAAACCGTTTTCTTATTAATGTAGCTTTGTCTTCTTATAGAGCAGTTCTAGAGATATTGATTCATACATATTCTGCTTTGATCTGATGAAGCTTTTAAGTCTACATTATGATCCAAAACTACTAGAATATGTTATCTCTCCAAAAAAATCATCCCACTACAGAAAATGGATGGATTAAGTAGTGCCATATCTACTGTATTTGCCTTCTTAACTCATTGACTGCCAGCCCATTTCAAACAGGTACTCCCATATTGCCAGCCGTTTCTGATGGTTTTTACTGATTTTTAAAGACCCACAGAATATTGTGTACTATGACTATCTGAAATCCGAAAAAAACAATTTTGTTTATAGCTTTTTTTGTTCCCCTGTAATCCTCCGTCGAGTAGAGGGAAGTTTTACTGAAATCACCAGAAATCACCAGAAAGTTGAGAAAAAAGAGGCACAACATGTGCACCTAACTGTTTTCAAACCATTCAGAGAGCAATGCTGCCACCTGCTGGCTCGATAAAATATGATCTCAAGTCATCCCCATACATATTAGATACAATAGACATCTGGGAACGTGAAAATAGCGAAAAAGGCATTTGACGAATTTATGCGTCAATGGGACACAATGTGTCAGCACATCACGTTAGCATGATTGGAATTTTCATTTGAGTCAAAATGTGTCAGAGATCACCAAACAAAGTAAGTTGTTTGAAGAAATTGGGTTTAATTGTGGGAGAATAAAGATGGTTAAAATCTTTTTAAAACGCACACTATGAATAACTTGGTCCAACCTGATCGCGGTAAACCATATTTAAACAAAAAGCTGATATTCAAAATGATGTATGTGTTGGGACAGTATATTCAATTATTATGTTATATTGTAAGTTCTATAGATCTACTGTATATGTACTTTCCAACCACCATCTCCACCAGCATGTTTCAAACTGAGACTGATGCGATTTGCACAAAAAATGCCAGAACAAATCAACTCACTTCCCTTCCTCCTCCACACTGTAACTCCAGCAGCCATCAGGACCAATACATCCTCCAGGACCTGAGCCAGTATGCCTGCCATGTCTGTATGTGCGCAGGGCAAAAACCACCTCAGGACCATCCTATTATAACTGTTTATTAGACAAAAATGTATTAGAATAATTGATCAATAAACACTACAAATATATATATTTGTTTTGGGGTGCTTTTCCACGGTGTTTAGTCAAATTACTTATACCAGTGGTTCTCAAAGACTGAAAGCAAGCAAGTTAGCTTGGCCGGTCAAGATAAAACCCAAAGGTTTTTTTCATGTATTTCAACACATTTGAATAATGACTCATACTCAACATGTTTGGACCTAAATTATTAAAATGACTAAAATTGTATTCAGTAGTGGGAGTAGATTTCATGCATATTTTTGATTGATATTGAAGCATTTACAGCTGAATAATAAACATAGCATCTACTCATATTGTACATTTTGTGTGCTCTTACTACTATACTGTATTGTTATTCTTATTATTTTAAGAATAACAATACAGGGATGAGCCAGTATGGATTTTTTTTTATACTTAACTATATATGATAGTGATACAATATTTGCTAATATTGTTTTTTTCTAAATGTAACAAATTATTATCTTTCTTTTATATATTGTCAATGTTATACTCCCCATGTCTCGCTCGTTTCTTTTATATTGCCCATTCCTTTTGCAGTAATCCCCCCAGGACATCCTCCGTAAGGACTCTGAGATTGCTTGCTCAGCTGGTTCATATTTAAATGTCTTCAAGTCAATCTCTGGAGTCCTAATACCAGATTAAATACATGTGAATTTTAACTAAGCATGAGACAGAGGTGCATTTATGAGTTGGATATGATGTGACCTTGGAGATGGTGGACAGTCGAGTGTCGAGAAGTATATTATCAAGAAGAGACATTTACTTAGAGTTGACAAAGCATAGGCTGAATTACAAATGTTTACTTTTCACCAGCAACAATTGCGTTTGTGCCATATACAAAATTAGTGACACAATAAAAAACAACTGCTGGATTCCACAGGTTCTGAGTTTTACAACAAGGTATTGAATAAATATTGACAGAGCGACAGTAGCTCAGTTGGTAGAGCATTGGCCTTCAGGCCTGAAGGTCGTGGGTTCAATTCCCACCTCTACACCTTCTCCACCGACTCCCAATGATGACTGCTGTCGTTGTGTCCTTGGGCAAGACACTTAACCCCACTTTGCCCAAAGCCCCCACTGAAAGATCAAGGCTATGCTCACACTCAGAGAGCAGCCGTCCTCCTGTGGACTCACCACCTGCAGAGGGTCAGTGAGGGGCTGGTGCTATGAGACTTGGGTGGCATCTCTGACTGCCACCCCCCTGACCCAGAAATGGATTAAAGGGTAGAAAATGGATGGATGGAGAGCTGAATTTTGCTGCAGGAAATGAATTTATTATCTCAATGGATACTTTAGATTTGAAAGGCAAAGGGCCACATATGTTGGCACAGAGGGCTGTAATTGGCCTATGGGCCTTAGTTTGGTCATTTCTGATGTAAACTATAATTTATTTTAGGTAAAATTAGCTTTTTGAGCTAAAGTTTAAATATTGCAATTATGCTCTGGGTCAATCATCCAATCAGTTCTTATTATGACTTCACATTACAGGTCCATGTCATTGAACCATTATCTCTTAATGGTGTCACATCTGAGCCTCCCAACTATTCAACTACTGATTGTTCTTTTCCACTCTTAGAAATTTTGAGCATAAAGCACTGATTTTTGTCTGTAGGACGCAATTATATCAAGCATTTTCTACTTTTTATAATTGAGCAATGCATCATTTGAACGCAGTGAATTTTGCTGCCCAATAATTGTCGTTACTTATTTAGCGTTATACTCCAATGCCCTTTATACATTATTCACCAGGCAATTTGTGCCTTTGGGAAGTTGCCATTGATATTTGAGTCGTTGCTTTGGATTTAATCTCAAAGCAGTATTAGTCCTGTTGCTCCCTGTGTGAAGAATATATAAGGAAAGTGTCCTGTGATGTTTGTGCCACCAAGAGAAAGCTCTTTTACTATTTCGCATTTGCAAAAGAATAGGATTTTCTGTTTGTCTTGATTTCGTCTGTTTTTGCTAATTAGTGACTCCACTCTGTCAACCATCTGTCTTTGAAATGAGTACAGTTTATTTTTCTTTGGCTAGCTAAGAAAGACAAACAAAATATTTGGCCTGCCACTTTGCACCCTTTGCAATTAAAAACATTAGATTTAGAAATCTGCCAACTTTCTCTCAGTGTTCTTCTGAATCGTCTTCCTGTGCATATGGCTACTTAAGTCTTGACAGAAGTATATCCTTAATTGATTTAAAAAAAAATTGATATCGAATTAAATCAAATCAAGTCAAGTCATGCATGTTTGTTTTAATAATGAATTAATGCATTTATGGACATTTATTAATAATTATGGACATTGGTCATCTGCCCTCTATGAACTCTATGTGTTTTTTTATAAATACTTTTCTTGTGATTGAACTGTTTGATTCTCTGATCTGTGTTGGCTAATCGACAGCTTTGTGAAGTCTTCTGAGATAACTGCTGGGAGTTAGGGTTATACAAAAATAAATGGAATTGAATTGCATAAATCCTTACCAAAAATAATTATTCAAATTTGTTTTATATTATGTAATAAATGCAGTCTTTGTCTTTTTCCAATCGTAACCACCAACATTGCAATTTGAATATATCATATTATATTTGAGAGTTGCCATGTTCCTTGTGTAACCATCGTCTCTGTTACTGTGTTCCATCAGTGGAGGCCGTGGTGGAGTTTGACTATGAGGCGCAGCAGGACGACGAGCTGAGCCTGAGCGTGGGCGACATCATCGGGAACATCCGCAGAGACGATGGCGGCTGGTGGGAGGGCGAGCTCAATGGACGACGGGGGCTGTTCCCCGACAACTTTGTGCGGGTCAGTGAACACACATGGTTCTTTATGTGTTTGTGCTACTTCTGTTGCTGTAGTTTAAGATTAAAGATAACCAAACCTACATAGACAATAGATTATAAGTGGTCATTAAAACTATTACTAAAAGGACTTACTTTGAATTAACATTATTAAAAATGTTCAACATTGTTGATAATTATCAACATGACAGTGGTTAGTTAAGTAAGTATTTGGAAACGTTTGCGGCTGAAGTACAAGAGTTTAATGTAAAGATATCTTCTTGGTTAATGAGGTTCTTGTGAGGAGACGATGGTTGTATTTTTTGGTTTGCTACACAATAAAAACATTGAGATATACTTTTTTGTTCTTATTGTTTTCCTCTCACTGCGCTGCAGAACAGAACGTTTTAAGAAATCTTTTGTTCCTTCGACTGTAAGAGTGTACAACAGATCTGTCTGAAATAAACATGTGCACTTTATTGTTCAAATTCTTTATAGAATTTATTGACGTTTGAATGGATGGATGTGTTTCTGCTTCTGGACTACGCGGATCAATAAATCTGTTTTTCTCATACCTCTACAACTTAGTATGTATTATTGTCAAAGTGAGACCTAATGCTATGTGTAACCTTTTCAAAGCAGATTCTGCTCGTTGCCACTGCCTGCAATAATCCTCTTCACGTATTCCAATTTTTGCCCACAGTGGAAGCGTTGTTCTCACACATCTGTCTGGTTTGTCATCGTCAGTATTCGTCACTCTGATGCTGTTTGCACGTTAAACATCATGACCACATTAGTCACTGTGGATGACGTAGGGCCGGGCGATAAAACGATAACGATATATATAGTGATGTGTTTGATATCAATAGAAAATGAGGTTGATAGAATGTTCGATAGTTTAACTTCACTCCGTTTGAAAAAAACAGGAAGAAAACACAGGAAGAAAAGCCGAGTCATAAGTGCGCGGCATTCTGGGTGATGTAGGCAAAGGCTTTTCGACCTATCACGGCTGAGCATGAACCGCAAAACATTTTGGGAAATACAAAAAATCAACCGGACCATGCGTAGCGTCCATGGATCTATAGATTTTGTTGTGTATCAATGCCGTATCAATGGTTTTGCGCGTCTGTGTGAGGAATAGCATGTGCGGCACCTCAATACATGCGGCAAAGAGATTAACTTTTTCCTCTGGAAGCACGGAGCCGTCAAGGGGACACAGGACACTCAAAAACAGCCAAAACAGGAGCTAAACCAGGATTAAACCAGAATTAAACCAGGACTAACAATGGGGAACACTTTGCTTGTGAACATTTTCCTCTAGCCTGAGTTCTCATTCCCCCGTGACTGTAAAGAATTGCTGCTAACGTGTTAGCCGACACAACAAATGCATTTATTTAGTAAAAATATATATATATATCAATAATTATATATATCAACCGATGAGAATCACTTTTATTGTGATATAGTTTTCAGCCATATCGCCCAGCCCTAGAATCAAATGTCCACACCATTAAGCCATGTGAAAGCTGCACCTGGAAAATTAGGATGAACACATAGATACGTAGATGCAGCCAAGTGGAGATATGTTTCCAGCTATACTTTCAATTATAATTACAATCAAGTGGGAATTCAAGGTTAATCTTTTGTATGTTTTAGGTAAAAACTTTGTGTTTCAGATGTATGCGGTTATAATCTGGAACAGTCTTCCTGAAAATGTGAGACCAACTTCAACTCTTACAATGTTCAAATCCAGGTTAGATGAATCCATACCTTACAGTGATATGGTTCTATAGTACAGGCAGGAATCATGGTCAGTTTTTTCTTTCATGATTGATAAAGTTTGGATCACATGACTAAAATTCAATTCAAACAATATTATATCCTGTTTAAACCAGCTTATCCCGGTTCTCATGTTGTGAACTTTGCTCTGTAAATGCTAAGTGAAAAGAATGGAGATTACGCAGTTAGTTTTGCATTGGCAGTTTCCAAAACATCACAGTAGGTCCCTTTAGGGTAAGGCCTCACACATGATGTGGCGAACGGTGTAGTGTACATGTGAAGATTATCATTAGATCTAAAGACGAGCCGTGTGATCTGATAGATCTGATGAAATATGCAGTTTTCAGTCAATTATCACATTAGTGTCTAAAATAACTTTGGATTTGCAATCATTGGAATTTGTTGACACTTATTTTCTTGTTTTCAATGAGAAGTGAGAGTTTTTTTTGGCTAAGAAGAAGCCTAAAACCACCGACCCACTTGTCCGTATACTTTCACATTGACACCATTAGACAAAAATAGCAGGTTGTAGAATATAGAGAGCTGATGATGCAATTACAATAGAAGCATAACCTATTGAGTGCACCAATCCAGCTTTCCAATGTCTGGTAAAAGAAAAAAGTTTGCCTTTTAAATTGTGAAAATATCTATTGCGCTCATGATAAATATTGGGCCCCAAAATGTGTTGTTCAAGCAGGCTTTAATTGGAAGCTAAGTATACTGTATATATGATTATTAGAATAGGGTGAAGCACAGTGCTCCTGTTCTTGGACTTGACTCTGAGACTGACAACTTACCCTTTCTATATCTTCAACACACAGTTCACAATGGTCCCCGTTTGTTGCATGCAGAGAGGGACCTATTGTTAGAAATACTGCGGTGTCACAAGACCACTCTTATGGGAACGTTGACATTAACGTTGTACAGGAAGAAGTGGGGGATGGACCGGTTTAAAAAGGGGAAGTGATGGCATTTTACTGGCTTCCCCTGGCCCGATGTCAGCTGAAGGAGAGAACTGAAGAGACAATGCTAACAGCTAACACTGTTATATTTGTGAATCACTGAATGCCAATGTGTGGGTTCCAAAACAAACATGAAAATAAAGTTACCTGAATGTGGCTTGCTTATTTTCTCATTAGATATTGAATTCTAGATGTTAAAAGCTTTAAAATGACTTGTGTTAATGAGCTTTGCCTGGATAGTGTATGTATTGCGTTGCTCTTTACATCAATAGTAAGTAAAAATAAAAGGAATAATTAAAACTGAAATCTTAGCTGATTACCTATGTATGTTTTGCAAGATTTCAAAATTGGCTAATTTAATTAGCAAACCATTAAACCGGTTGCTCCCTACTTTCTATGTTAAGGAACCATGTGCTGTTCTTACTTGGGCAGAAAACCAACATGATGGGACATAAAATAAATGGAGATGAATGGATTCTGAGAAATGCTCCCATGCTACAAACAAGAACAAGCATCTCAAGGGGTTTTCCTAAATAAACTTAAACAAGTAAAAATGATAAAGATGGTATTATCATACTTATTATTTGTACAGCAAATGCAAAGATGAAATGTAAAGTTAAGTTTAGTATTTATTGGACTTTTGATGGCTTCAGTTGGGATTGGATCCTACAGTATGTAATGATTAGTTCAGCCCTTGTCAACTGAACAGAGATTCAAAGAAAGCAGGCTTAGGAAGGAGGTTAATTTTTAACTTGAATGTACTGTATCTGTATACTGTATTCCCACCTCTGCACCTTCTCCACCGACTCCCACTGATGACTGCTGTCGTTGTGTCCTTGGGCAAAACACTTAACCCCACTTTGCCCAAAGCCCCCACTGAAAGATCAAGGCTATGCTCACACTCAGAGAGCAGCCGTCCTCCTGTGGACTCACCACCTGCAGAGGGTCAGTGAGGGGCTGGTGCTATGAGACTTGGGTGGCATCTCTGACTGCCACCCCCCTGACCCAGAAATGGATTAAAGGGAAGAAAATGGATGGATGGATGTACTGTATCTCAGACAAATGTAGGATGACGGGCTACATTTGTCTTAATATAGAAGTATCAAACCAGTCCAAGCTAAAATATAGATTGAAAGAGTTGAGATCCCATCCCATCCCATCCTGGTCCTCTACATTATTTGTGGCATGAAAGACATGATTATAAGGCAAGTTTATGTGTTTAGGACAGTTCATAAACAAGACAACTCAAAGTGCTTAACAAAACCAAAAATTAATTCAAATCACACAAGACATTCAAATCCAGAGTGAAGACACACGGTTTTAACTTGGATTTGAACAATGTCAGAGTAGAAGCCTTTTTAGAAAGACTATTCCAGATTTTGGCTGCATAAACTGAAATGCAGACTCCCCATGTCTACTCCTGACTCTAGAGACAAGCAGGAGGCCAGTCCCTATGCTCCTCAGGGTCCGAGTTGGTTCATATGTCACAATGTATGTCACAAATTTACCATGGAGAGACTGGTACACAAGCAGAGCTGCTTTAAAGTCTATTCTTGAACCCATAGGAAGCCTGGGCAGACACCTGAGCGAAGGACTAATGTGATTGTACTTTGGCTGCATAATTTTGAATACACTGCAGCAGTAGAACACAAGTATAACCACTCCACCTTGTCAGGAGAGCTACTTCTTCCATAGAATCAGTGACATATTGTCAGAAAGACTGTCCTCACAATTTTGATTCTTGGCCTTTTGATTATAGCTTACTCAGGTATCATCCCATACGGCAGTCATGCAGATGTTTTTATTGTTAATGGAGAGAGATGTTTCTGCCAACCCTATTAGTATTGCATTATTTTTGATTTGGGGTTGTTCAGCAAGCATAAATAACTAGTATCAGGACAGGTTTGGTTCCCCTCAGCTTCCGTTTGAATCGGGCTGATTTGTTTTTCTGTTTCTAATGCATTCTGCACCGAGGAAGCTCCATTATCACTGTGAACAAAAAGCAATGGGTCAAAGGGTGTACAATATGTGAGGTAGAAAAAGGGGATGTTTACCAATGAAGCAGCAGCGTCCGTTCTAAGTCACAGATCCCAAAGGTGCATTTAAGTGTTCTTTAAGAAAGCGAGGGTCAATGCAGATGGTTGAACTGTAAAGGCTGAATATGAAAGAATGTGTTGGAGAGTATCAGCAGTGTAACACTCAAAAAGCTTGGTAATTACCGTCTAATGGGTACTATAACCAAAATGAATCTCGGAACCTTTAAGCAAAAAAAACAATGATGATG